TCTTTTGCATCTCCGAGTGACACAAAGCCGGAAACGGCATCCTGAAATCGTGGACTTGTTGCTGCCAAGGTAGAAACGGCGTTTAACCACTCTGAACAATCGGACCGATTTCCCTCCATGTTCACCAAAACAGCGTGAAGTAAAAGAAGTACGGATAGCCACGCCCTGTGCCACGCTTGTGGTCCATACAAGTTTGCAGTGGGATCGTAAATGGCCGCGTCGTTAAATTGCCCCAAAGCATTTGCCAGAGCAATCACACGTTTATGCGAGAAATAGGTGGTCAATTCGTCATTCTGCAGAAGGACAGTGCTTGCGGCACCCAACACATGGTCAAAAATGTCAGATAATGTAGAGGCAGGCCCCGTGGCAGGAATCTTATAAGACAGATTCGTTGCAAAAGTCCATAAATTCTCCAATGTGCTGAGCGCACACCGCACGGGAGAAAATTTACCTATACGACCGTAGATGACACCACATCCCAGAATTAGAGTCGTTAGGGAACTCAAGGGTGCCCTGTTCAGATGTGTCTCCAAAACTTTCAAAATAAACTCGAAAATTTGTATTGCCGTCTCCTCATCCAATGAACCAACGGGTTGAAAGGCCAATAGAACTGTTATCCCCTGGCAAACAACATCAATGTGCTCATGATTGGAAATCATCAATTTTACAAAGTCTTGAAACAAAGTATTTAATTTCAATGGTGATGAAATTAAAGCAAATTCTCTCAAAGACTGCATGTGCACAGAAGCTGCTCCACGAGCAAGTGATAGCCAACCCTCAAAACACGACCACATCAAACCACGCAAGGGAATGGCAGTATGTCCCACCATTTGCATTCCCTGAAGTGACAACTCCAACAACTTTGAAGAAGCGAAATGGGCTTCCTTTTCACCACATGTGAGCCATGCAACTGCCTCTAGGGAAGCTGTGAGACGGGTCATGGCCTCCAAAGCAGATGCCATGTGGTTCAGTGAAATAACATCCTCCTCTCCATCGTTCCATAAAAGAAATCCATCCCCGAGAAGCATGGGTTTTAGTTTTATTTTTCCACTACCTGCCTGCAATGAAGTCACAGACAATCCAATAGAAGTAAAAGTGGACAAGTTGGACACAACGTCTTGAGTTACTCTCGAAATAACAAGCTCTTGCGAGTTCCTTTTAGGAGCATCTCCTGAGAGACGTGAATCAACCCAGTTATTAACAGTCCCAGTCTGCCTTTCAATGACTTGGTAAAAGGCACTACATTGCTCCAACGCCCTAGATCCCGTTTCAAGCATCACGCGAATGGCAGCTACATCTCCTGACGATAAGTTGCCCTTTTCACTCTGAATGGTTGAACGACTTGGGCTACGCTGCTGCGATCCTCCCCTCTCTCCGCATTTTGCGCTTCGGCTGCCCTCCAAATGCATTTTACCAATGATAGATCCACATATGTACTTAATCGCAGCCGCCGTAAAGGCAGCTTGGACGTACGCTGAACCACCTATTATATCCGACAGCAAATTGACGGCAGAAGTAATGGGGAAATCCAAATCGTCGAGGGCTCGAAGGAGGTCAAAAGCCTCAACTTTTTCAAGTGGTGTGATTTCCACGCATCCCAGCTTGTCACGTAGGATGCGGGTGAGTGGGAGCTCGGACGAGCCGCCTCCACTGTCCCTTTCCTCAGGGAGCATCAAGAAGAAAAACGATGCCGGATCTAAGCAAAAAAGATAACGAAGAGATGCCAACCGAAAAACATTTACGGATTTGTTGGATGCAGTCGACAGTTGCAGCTCATGGTGAATGGATGACAATAATACTCGTCGCAGTTCTGTGGAGGTATGAAAACGCATCGTGCCAAAAAGTTTCTCCTGTGAGCGCTCCAATACATACGCCAGTAGCCCTGCTGTGGACTCCACCAACGAGACTGACGCGTTAGGAGAGAATATCACGCAGTAGAGCATAAAACATGCTGAAAGGGTATTCTCGCCGTATGTCGCAATCACACAGGTGGCCAGTGTGTTGTGGTGGCCTCCATCACAGACAGCGGCAGAAAGGAGACAAATCGCGCCTTCTAAAAGGGGTGTGGCTGGCAACGAGCAGAGAAAAACATTTCCCGACTGAAGCTCACGCAAAAGTACAAAAATTCCTTCACACAGGCGATAAATGAGCCTCGCCATTGATTCCTCCTTGGACAATAACTGGAAGAGTGAACGCGGCACTTCCAGCGGCGCCGCCTGGACAACAGACAACCACTGAACAAAAAACTCCATCGCCAGGAACGAACAAGGGATGAGACCATGCGGAATGTGTGTCACAGCCTCGAAAATGCCAACAAAAGGCACCGCATTTTCGTAGCTCTTAAAGAGTGTATCATAGATTTTCAAGTGAAGCAATGCAATTTCGGTTGACTCGTAACGTACTCCCACCCCTTTCATCAAATCCGGTCGAAGGAGGTTAGAGGCCGCGTAGGCAACGTTACCCAGCAGAGGATGAAATGAGGAAATGGTGCCATAGAAGGTCTCAACAAGCTCCACGTCATCATCGTCAACAGAATCCGTCAAAACTACGGTGGCCACATGAGGAAAGAGCGAGTAAAGTTTGCATCCGATAACTTCCTCTAGCACCTTTTGGTAGCTGGAATAATTGGACATCAAGGCATGTAAAAGAGAAAAGGCACTTCGCACAACCACCTTCTCACCTCCACGAAATGATCTCCACCCCATCGCTAACAGTCGAAAAGTTTTTTTCATGGGTGTATCCGTCATAACCATTGTCAAACCTTCGGTGTTATGAGAGAGGGCTGCCCCTTTCTCTTCCGCCTCTCCCTCCAAAAGCGAGCCGTGGGTAATGTAACATGGGGTGCTCCTGTTGAGGATCGCGGCCTCCTCATCAACCAACACGTCAAACCCAACATGATACGCCAAAGCAGATGCGTAAAAATTAAACAAAGAAACGGTATAGACACTGCTTCCTTCGGCAAGAAAATTCCGTATGTATGGCCGCAACAGAGGCACACCGGATGGAAGAAAATCCCACAGACATGCGTACCTTGCAGCCGCCTCTATGGCTGAGAGGAGTGCTGCTCCTGTGAAGTAACCCCAAAATTCACCCGAGACTCCTGAAAACAGATCATACAAAACTTTGGCGAATTGCCGCTGCACAAGAGACAGGGAAACCGAGTGGACACCTTCATCAGAAAAATAGGTCGCAATAGGCGTAGAGTAAACGGTTGTTGTGAATACAACTTCTAATGCCGCGCGAAGCAGCTCAGGATTGACATCTGTCCTTTCTCTCAGGGCAGGGACACTTGCAAGAACAACCAAACAATAAGGAGAATCCACGCTTGTCTTGTAACTGCACAGTGCTTCAATTGAAATCAAAGAATACTTCGTCAAAAAGACAGAAATAACGAGTGCACAGCGTCGCACCACCATTGAAGCGCTATCGGCCCACATCTCTTGTGCCAGCGAAGCCAACTCTCGAAGAACATCTTGCGAGGGAATTTGTGGCGCATGCTCACCAAAAAAAAGTACAACATCGCATGAAAGTCTGATAAGACGCAGTTCATTATACACGTCCAACTCACTTTCTTGTTGTTTGACCGCCTCCCAAAGCTGTGAAATTCTTCTCTGCATAACGTAATAAAATCCCAGCTCCTCCAGTTTTTCAATGAGAGAACTCCAAAGAAGAATATTTTTGTAGCCCTGGCAAGGATGTCGTAGAAGAGCAAGGAATATACTCAGCTCAAAAACGTGCATCCGATTACATGACTCCTTCTCCCCCAAAAGAAATTTAAGAGCAATTTGAAGAGGACACAGCTCATCTACTGCTCCATGCGCAGAAGAAGGCACATTCAACACGCTGTTCTCGGAAGCGCTTGTCGCTGCAGGCTGGATTTGTTCCTTCGAAGGGAAGTACGGGGTCAATATGGCCTCGGGAGAAGAAAAACGAGTAATAAAGTCCTTTGAGACAAGTTGAAGATGACGCAAAAAGGCATCCGGGTCGTCCCTCCTCGGTGCCAACAGCGACGGTGCCACGCGACTGACCACACATGAGAGAAGACTGGATCCGCTCATTGGCTCTGGCACGGCGCCCTCTCTTCCACCCTCGATGCTCTTCGTGCTTATTTCACCCTTCCCCCCTCCTTCCTTCCTTCCTTCCTTCCTTCCTTATTCTGCCGTTCGTCACGTTGCTCTTTCTCAAAGCTAATGCAAAACAACAACAACAACAAAAAAAAAAAAAAAAAAAGGGAAGCCACACTCAAATTGTTTGATTCACACAATTAGAATATATATATACATGCACATATATAAAAGAAAAAAGCTGCAAATTACTCAGAATGTTGTGTCTCATATATCCCAAGCAGCATCCGTTACTCCTCCGCACCGTCTAGTGGTGTGTCAGAGAAGGGAATAAAAAGGCAAGAGAGGTAGGTAAAGACGCCACAACTCCTCATGTAGCGTCAGGAGGGAGAAACAAAAAGACACATACTCACAAACACATATAAAAAAAAGAAAAAGAAAAAAAAAGAAAGAACAGAAAGCGTGAACTTCCTTTAGCTCGTATTCCATGAAGGAAAAAAATACTTTTCACGGTCAACACATTCCCATTGTTTCCTTTCCTTTTTTTCCATGCGCGCAAACACTCACACGCCCCTCACTTTCTTAAAAAATTTATACATATATACATATATATATATATCCAAAACTCTCTCCACTTAATCTGAATACATTTTATCGTGGCGCCTGCAATGCACGCTGTGGACGACCAAAAGGTGTGAGGGCACACACCCACATCCAACCACACAGCTGACTGTTGTTGTTGTTGTTGCTTCTCTCTCTCTCTGTCCCTCGTTCTCTCGCCATTTACTGCCATTTTTTTTTCCCTCTTTATTACCCCTCAGCCCGTGTGTTGCTATCGTTGAAGGCAAAAAAGGATAAGAAGTAGCCGCCAGTGTAGCATGGAAGCAACTCGGCACGTTTTTTTATTTTTGTTTTTGAGTTGATGGAGCCTCTAGTTTTCATCTGCTCTTATATTATTATCTTTTTTTTTTTTTGTAAGTTATCCGGCAATTCAACCGATACTGTTGGAAGTAGAGACGTGTTTCCTTTTTTTCTCTTTCGTCTTCTTTATTGCCTGCTTTTCATGCCAGCTCCTTCCCACCATCACCCACCATCCGCGGCAGCGACGAGAATAAACTTGAGGTTGCCAAACAGGAAGAAAGAATTGCCTCGCACGTCCCCCTCCCTCCACACATATATATGAGGCGGCAAATACATCAATAATTCAGCTAAATGCATACACAAACACAAGCATAACAAGATATCAAGCAATAAAACTCCCTCTGTGCATGTAGTGTGTGTGTGTGTGTGTATACGGCTGCCTCTGGCAAACTGACAGGCAAAAACGCACAGTCAATCACAAAAGCTCCGCAAGGAGCAGCGCCAGCAAAATGGTCAAAAGTCCACAATGAGGGGTAAAAAGAGGATACAAAATCGCATTGTCATTATAAATCAAAACAACAACAACAACAACAAACCTCATAAATATGGATACAAACAGAAATACATGCATACATGGAAATAGTGTGGTACTATTCTTGTACACATACGCGCCAAGAGAAACAAACAAACAAAAAAAAAAAGTCGAGAAGGCATTTCCAATAAAAACACCAAGAAAAACAAGATGAGTCTGTGTTCATTGTTCTTCTAACCCCAAATAATCCTTT